TCCTCCATCAGCCTGGGTCCAGGGTGCAGGGACATGGAGCAGGGCCCCATGGAGCAAGGCCCCAGGTAACCCACATGTAGTGTGGGCAAGAAGAAAACCTTTGATTACAACTGCTGTGCGGCCCATTCCATCAGGACCAGTAGAGGAAGGCTTCTGACTTTCTGTGTAATCAGCCCACTCACTTGATGCTGAAAACAAGCCTTATTGGTTGACAGCTCTCGGTTTCCCAAGAATGAACTCAGATTTACCCTCCAGATCCAACGCTTCATGGAAGATCTTCATTTCAAATGGCAGTAATGATGTTTCTTTGCCTGAAATCAGGCCAGGCAAGAGGTTTGCTCATCCTCGCTCTCTCATTGTGGACTGAAAAAATCTATTCTTGCCTTGTGCCCAAGTTCCTCTAGGACCATGAGGCATCAGGGGAACTGAGTCTTAATCTTTTTTTTTTTTTTTTTTTGAGATAGAGTCTCGCTCTGTTGCCCAGGCTGGAGTGCAGTGGTGCAGTCATAGCTCAGTGCAGCCTCAAACTCCTAGGCTCAAGCGATCTCGCCGCCTCAGCATCCCAAAGTGTTGGGATTACAGGCATGAGCTCCCATGCCTGGTCTTAATCGTTTAATTTGTGGTGGAAACGGGTTCTACTCAGAGAGAGGCAGTTGCTTTGGTGACACAGGTAGCCTGGTAAATCAGCAGACATGGAAAAGGAAATCTACTGGAAAACTCTGCAAGTGTCAGTGTATTGGTTGGTCCCAGGGGTCAAGCAGGGGATGGGCACGAGGCAGCGCCAGAGATCCATGCAGGTGGACACAGAAGGAGTCAGAGCCCAGGGTCTGGGCATGGCCAGACACTGCCAGGTCATCCTGGCTGACAGTGCACCCAGGACTGGCAGGGGGCAGAGCCTGGGCAACAGCTGTGAAGCAGGGAAGCTGGGGGCACTTGGTGAGTCAGATGCGATGCTGTGACCGCTCAGGGTATTTCACAGCAAAGGCCTAGGGCTTCTGGTGGCAGAGGCTGCCTTCTAGTTGTGTGTATTTGAGGGTGGGGGTATTGTCTAGAGAGGTGTGGAGATAGGTGGTGGGTGCTGGGTGAAGCAGGCAGTGAGCAAGGGCGAGGCAGGTGAGGAAGAGGGACAGAGAGGTGAGGTGGAGCCACTCAGGGAGTTCTGCTGGCCAAGACCATGCCCTTGCGACCATGATGACTGCCAGATCCCAGACTACAAGCAAAGAGGAGACTCCAGGAAGAGCAGCTGGGGAATATGGCCTGCGGCAAGGGTCAGATGACTTCACTTCGCTTGCCCCTAGTTGGCTTCATTTAACTTAAACCTAGGCCAGGCTCAGTGGCTCAGCCTGTAATCCCAATACTTTGGGAAGTCAAGGTGAGTGGATTGCCTGAGCCCATGGGTTCAAGACCCAGCCGGGCAATTTGGCAAGACCTCGTCTCTACAATGAAATAAAAAATTAACTGGGCACAGTAGCGCACACCTGTAGTTCTGGCTACTTGGAAGGCTGATGTGGAAGGATTGTCAGAGCCCAGCAGGCCGACGCAGGGGTGGCTGTGAGTGTGCCACTGCCTGGGCGATGGAGTGAGACTCCAACTCAAAAAAAAAAATGCTCAGCCTATCCAAGAGCATTTCCACTACACCGAGCAGAGCCAGCCAGCTTGAGTTGCTCTTTCTGCTGGTTGCATCTGTGTCCTGACTCCGGGAGGCTGAGTGGCCCTTTGGCTGGCTGGGGTTCTGGGCAGTGACCCAGCTTGAAGCAGCCTGGCCCCTACCACCAGGGAGAAGGGAGAACAGGGTGTGTCACCGGGCTTTCGGGTAAAGTTCTGGGAAGAAAATGTCTAGAATAGAGCTCAGTATCAATGAGAAAACAGTTCACATAGTTTCAATCAGATTTGCTTTAAGAAATAGGCCTGGCTGGGCTGGGTGGCTGGCTCGGTGGCTCAGGCTGTAATCCCAGCACTTTGGGAGGCCAAGGCAAGACCCCCCCAGGCAACTTGGCGAGACCTCATCTCTACAATAAATCAAAAATTAGTCGGGGGTGGTAGTGCGCACCTGTAGTTCTGGCTACTTGGAAGGCTGAGGTGGAAGGATCGCCGGAGCCCAGCAGGTCGAGGCTGCGGTGGCCGGGAGCATGCCGCTGCCCTCCAGCCTAGGTGACAGAGTGAGACTCCAACTCAAAAAAAAAAAAAAGAAAAGAAAAAGAAATAGGCCCAACCAGAGGCTTAAGCTGCTTCACTCCTCATCTATTTCTTCTCTCTGTCCCTTGGTCCTGGCTCACCATCCTCCTTCTCCCCTCCTGCTTGTGGGACTGCTCCTTCTCAGAACCTTTGGGAGGAGTCCTCAGAGCTCCTCCCCTGCTAACCCCTAGGAGTTCGGCTTTCCTGTCTCTTCCCTCCTCTCCTGGGTGATCCCTCATGGGTCACCTGTTCCCACGTGATAGCCAGCCCAGCTGCTTCGTGACCTCTTATCCCATGTATTTGAATGACAGCTCTATATCTTCTTCCAGAAGTTCATCATTCTTCTTCCTCTCCTCCCCCACACTGGCACTCCTGAGTAGTCCTGGGACCTGGACCTCCTCCATACCCTGCTTCCTTTCACCAGCCTATAGTTCTGCCCCTGAATCCCTTGGGTTCATTACTACAGCCACACCCCAGTTCAGGCCTCACCCTCTCCCAGTAGATACTGCAACAGCCTCCACCTGGTCTCTCTTCTCTGACCTACCTGGCAGCTGATGGGATCTTTCTAAACTACACATCACATCAGACCACACTGCTCCCCTGTGACTCTTCAGTGCCTCCCGCTGACCCCAGGAGGCTGCCCAAGCACATGGGCAAGAAAGGGCAGACTCTGTCCAGTGGCCTGATTGCTCTGTCTCCTCTTGCTCCTCGAGCCCCAGGGGAGCAGTTCCCCATCATGCCTTTCCCAACTTCCATGCCTTTGCTGGGCTGTTCCCTCATGGCCCTGGTCTGTGCAAAGGGATGTAGCCTCAGCTGAGCAGATTGAGGGTTCAGGATTCACAGAGATGGTCCCTTCATCAAACCCCAGTCAGCCCACAACTAGAAGACCTTGGGCTTAGACCAGACAGGCCATTCCTCTCTTGACAGCTGGTTGCTTCTGTGCACATATTGCACAAGTTTGCAGTCTGCAGCCCAGAAAGGTGACTAGCCTGTTAGCTCTGATACCTTTTAGATCTATCAAGCTGGAAACAACTGAGATACAGGAGACTTGAGCTATGTCAGCAAATTCCATTCTTCAAAGCAGAAGGAGGGAAGGTTTTTTGTGTGTGACTCTGTGGGTTATCTCAGTAGGACAAGGGACCCTGTCCACAAGGAGCTCTGGGGTTGGGGGGTAAGGTGCTCCCCCACCCACCCCAACCTCAGTCCCAGGAAATGAAGGTTCTGTTTTCTATCTCTGAGGCCAGATGAGGAAAATGAGGCTTATGTCTCCCTTCCTCCCCTGCAGGCACTCAGTATTTTTACTCCATCACCTGACCAGAGCTGCGTGTACAGTAGGCAGATAAGAGGAACCCCTGCCAACTGAGGACAAGTGGCAGTATCCTTCCCCTGCCCTGCTGACCTGGAGCCACAGCCAGAATGGCTTCATTCAGCAATCCAGCTCACTTGAGACCACCTGTGGCAGGCTTAGGACTCATACTCATTCCCTCTCCCTGCCCTTCTCTTTCCCTGCTGAGGTGGGAGCACAGCCATGAGCCAGTCTGTGGCAAAGATGGGAGGGAGGCTGGAAATGAGTCTCTGAAAGGCAACAAGATCGGACCCACTTCTGGGGAACATCAGAGAGGCTGTTGACCTTAGCACACACCTCGCAGAACGTGCTCTTCACATTGGGGGTATGTCTACACTGCACAACCCACTCACAGAAGAGGAAACTGAGAGATGAATGACAGTCCCTGAGAAGTGCAGCCAAGTCACCTGACTCCCATTTCCTTTTTCCTCTCGAACTTTCTTGCCAAGGCTGAATATAAATGATACTAAAACACGTCCAAAAAATATGTAAATGAGCACCATCCAGCACCAACCTTACCTCTAGGACAAGTTCTTGGGGAAGAGTAACAAGTCCCTACACTGTCCCTCTTGTCCTTTCCCCTCGATTCCCACAAAACAAGATTGTTTCCCTGCTTGTCAGCTCCCTGAAGGTTATATTTGTCACCTACCCCTGTGGAGTCCTTGGTGAGGACCACGATGATCTCTCTTCCCCCTCCCTGCAGGCTGCTGACCTCATCGACCTTCTCTTTTGTCCTTAGATCCTGTCGTCACCACCTCGGATGCCCAAATCTCCCTGGCCCCAGACTGGGGACCTCCCTGGCAACCCTGAAAACTTTTAATTTGCCAATATTGGGGAAGGTGTGGGCTCTTATAATGGTTTTGCTGTTCCGGCTCCTGGTCTGAGGGGCCAGACTGTCAGGGTGTCACTAGTTTCTGTTTTAATTCCTGATAATGGCCCAGTAGTTTGAATTATTTCTCTGGGATGGATTCAGCAGTGCAATTAGTAAACTTTGAAGCTTCTGATACCTATTGCCAAACTGCTTTTCGCCAAGGTTGTGTCAATTTACTGGTTGTTTGAGAATGCTAGTTTCACAACATCCTTACCAGCTCTGAGTTTTAGCATTTAAAACCAATATTTTTTGATAGTTTAGTGGGCAGTGATATCTGGTTCCATTTACTTGGTATTCCTTCATTTTTGTGGAGTGCTGCTCAGTCCTTTCCCCATGTATTGAAGGAGTTTCTGTTTCTTCCATAGATTTGGGTGTGCAGACATTCTGTGTTGGCACTGTACTCCACATGTGGACGGGTTCAGGTCCCAGATGAACTGCCCCAGATTGCTTATCCCAGAGCAGTGACTTGCAAACTTTTTAACAAAGCAGGATAACCCTGTCTCAATCTCACACAGCATCTCTTTAGAAAAACATTAACACTAGCCCAAGAGGAAAAGCTCCAAGCACCGCCACAACCCTCTCCCGAGGTTCCAGAAGCCTCAGTTTTACCTGAGGAAGGGCCACGCAGACCTTGTTGTCCTTATCTCTGAAGAGGGGATGTCACCGCAGAGTCCAGACCTGAAAGGAGACGAGCAATTCACAGAGGTGCCCAGAACAATCTCCCGAACTCAGCAGCCACCAAGCAGCCCAGAACAGGTGAGCCAGGTACAAAGACCTACGGGCCCCACCTGCACTGGAAGCACTGCCACACCCTCCACGTCGCCAGGGCGGGGCATGGGCCGGCAGTACCAGCCGAGGAAGTGCAGCCGCAGGGGGTGGGGCGGCGGTTTGTGCGACAGACCTGGGAGGATTGACAGGTGGGTGCTGATGGGATGGATGAGCCCTCCACGTGGACAGCTGGAGTGTGGCCGAGCTGACAGTGTGCAGGGTTGGAGGGAGAGGGGAAGAGGCGAATTCAAAGCTCCAGCCGCGGGGCCTGGGTTTGATCTGATAGGAGAACCAGAACAATCAGAGTTCTTCCCAGGAGCTTTGCGTAATCTCTGCCTCGTGAAGATACCTGAGGGGAGGAGAGCTGAACCCAGGCCAGGGAAGAGGGACGGGGCCGCCGCCGGGAGGAAGGTGGGTTGGGGGAGGAAGCAGCGTTGAAGGAAGAACAAGAGGGATTTGGCAGCAGACAGGGAGGAGGGTAGACACGCTGGCGGCGGAAACATGGCGTGAACCCAGCAGGCTCTTCGAAGGGGACAGTTGGGAGGGCACTCGTGTGAATGGTCCCGCACCCCTCGCTGACCCAGGCGAGGGATCCTGCAACTACGCCCTGCGGACGCGGCCCTCCACACTTGGACCTCAGTCCCAGTTCGTAGGCCCCGCCCCTGCCCCTAGCTCCGCCCCTGGCCTCTGGTGCTGGCCCCGCCCCCTGATCTCTGGCCTTGGGCTGCTCTCTGACCGCACCCGCTGGCGCCGTCTCTGGCCTTGCCCCCGACTAACCCACCGAATCCTCGGCTCCGGGGCCCGCCCCTGGTCTCAGGCCCAATGTTGGCTTCCAAGTTCAGCCCCGCCCGCTGTCCAGTGCGGCCTCCTGCGGCTCTTTCTCCAGCCCTCCATCTTCTCAAGCCGGTGCCCAACGACATCTTACCGCCCTTATATCCCAATAGGGCGACTGTCTCTTCTCAGGTCCATACCCCATCCTTTGTATGCACTTAATTTGCAAGTCACCCAAACTGTTTCAGAAGAATCTCAAAGCTGAGTCCCAATCCGTTCTCTGTTACCTAGCCAAAGATGTTGCAGAAGTACTGACTGGCATGTCTTCTCCATGGCAAACACTTATCTTCCCTCTGATTAGGAATCCATGTGGAAATGGTGTGAGCTCCAGTGACACCTGGTACTGCTCCAGGCCATTGGTCTTGGGCAAGTCATATAATGCTGGGCCTTAGATACTCTTCCTCTCTAACACTGGGAGTCTCTACAAGGCCAGGACCAAATGGGCATCGCTACTTGATGTAGCCAGATCAGGGTGAGAAGGAATTCAGAGTCCCAGGTTCACACTCTGCACGTGGTGACCTGGATTCCTCAGGGACCTTTGTTTCCATGTGGATACCCTGGCTTGTACCCACCAAGATAAGTACTTGGCCAGGCATCCTTCCCCACCCACAGCCCAGAGAGTTCAGCCTGCTGGGAAGTCAGAGGGGGGCCTACTGTCCCGGCTTGTCCTCTGTCCCTAGAGTGCCTGCCTCCTCACCCATAGTAGGCTGACGACCTGCATGCAACTCTGTTCTTCACCCTCTTGCCAGGCTGACCCGACCTAGGCCACAGGCTAGTGAGCATCTGGAACTGGACATAAAGGAGGCAGACCTCTCCTGAGCTACCTGGGCCTGTGTGACTCCCAGCCTCCACCGCCCTCTTTTCAAGTGTGAAGGAGCTCACCTGTCATCTCTCAGTGAGAAGTTTGTCAAACAGGGTCTTTGGCCTCTAACATTACTCAAACCGTCCCCAGCAGCTGCACAGCCTGCTCCCTCTCTTACAAACTCTTCTGAAAAATCCCCTGCATGTTTCTTTCAAAATAGAATTAAATAACAGGAACTGACTATTTAGGGAGGGGTTCCTGAAAGGAAATGGAATCTCTACAACCTCAAAATTATAGGCCCTTCTCTTTTCTCTAAAGAAAAAGAAAACATGTCAGATCATTGATATTCTGAGCCAGACCTTTGTTTTGAAGTATGCTCTCCCCCTGTCCTTTCACAAACGACAACCTTTCTCCCTCTTTGAAAATAAGATCACATCAAGTCAGGGATTAGAAGTGGGAAAAATTCAATCAGAGCCTCCCTCTGCCAGCTACACATCGCAGTCTACTCCCAGGTGAGCAGAATCAACTCCCGCTCCAGCCCCGCTCCGCATCATCATTGAAAACGCACCGGTAGGAAATGGTGAAACAGAAGGACCTTTCATCACCGGCTGAGTGCTGCTCTCCTGGCTCCAGCAGTTGGCTGTGCCTGGGCTGAGTCGGGCCTCTGGCTTAAATAGGCAGTGGGAGCAGAGCAGGGAGGGCCTGGGGGGCGGGCACGGAAAGTGGGCCATTTATCCAGCACAGCGAGGTAGTGTCCGCAGAGCTAGCAGTGGTCCCAAGCACACGCCTGCCTGCCTGTCCACCAGGAGGCCTCAAGTCCACAGGCCCCAGGACCGCAGACCAGTACCTGGGGTGACCCCCGATGGACGTGCGGCTCCGAGTGAGACCAAGTCCCTGGACACACTGAACTCGGTCAGGTTCTTAAATACCTCTACCTCTCCTGGGTAGCAGAGCCAGCTGTGGAATTGGATGCCTGCTCCTCAGAACCAGTAGTGGTCTCAGGCAGGGCACCTGTCCAAGCCCCAGTTTCTATCTTCTTAAAATGAGGATAACACCAACTTCATACATCCAGAAATAATGTTTGCAAAGGGTCTGGCACCTAGGTGGTTGATTTATTTATCTGCATGGTGATACTGGGGTCAGATACCTTCAATGAGGCTCAAGCCCAGAGGTTTGGTAAGATACCCAAAGTCACACAGGCCTCCAGCTGAGTGTCAGGGTCAGACTTCATGCAAACATGAGACCGCTCAGCCTCATTCTATAGTTGAAGCTTGGGATGAGGGAGGGTGAGGAGCAGCTCGTCACCTTGGGGAAGGGTCTTGACTGAATCCTGGTGAAGGAGTCACTTCTAAGCCCCCAACACCAATGCAAAGTGGGGAGGCATGATTGGACAGGCATTCTCAGGTAGCCTGTCTGCATTTGGTGGAGACCCTGGGAGGAGGTGCAAAAGTATCCCAAAGTAACTGCTAGGCATGGCTGGTGGGAGGAGCTGCCCCCTCAAACCTCCAAGGTCTCCGAGGAAGTTGTAGGGAGATGAACGTCTCACTTGGTTGGTTCAGCTTGATCTTTCAGTAAGTGGGGCACTGCTCCCACCTCAGTGAACAAAGATTGGGACATCAGCTCATGGGGAATTAAGATAAAGCAGTAGTTCCTTTGTCATTTTATGCTTGTAAAATTTCTGCCCTTAAAAGTGAAAATAAATGTGCTAGTAAATAATTGGAGTCAAAGAACCAGTTCTTAACAGAAGTATGCATTTTCAGTTTGATTAACAAAAGACTCATTTCCCCCAAAGAGGCAGCAAAAAGAGGGCTTGGATCTCTGTAGTTGGAATCAGAAGGGAAATCAACTTTAGCTCAAGTACTGATGAAAGCAAGCTGAAGTTATGATTACATATAAACCTCATTCGTCTGCCAATCATTAATTGTTGAGTGTTTAGAAGCCTGACATCCTTTCAGGAGTTTGAACTGCAACAGTGGGAGACTCTCTGGGAAGAGCATGCACTTCAGAGCCCAATCTGGGTTCAGATCTGGCTCTGGGCAACAACACTGTGCCTTTACCTTTAGCCTCTTTGCACCTTCGGTTTCTACCACTTTGCAGAGTTCTTGGGAGAATTAGATAAGATAAACCCCTTAGTAAGTGTTCTGTAATCATTTGCCCATTTGGAAAGATGATTTTTCAGGGAGCCTGAGGTGGGCAGGAAGGAAGTACAGTAAGGCCAGTGCAATAGGTGAAACAGAGACGTCGGGGCCAAGGCGGTGGGAAAAAAGAGGGGTCATATATCTGGGGGACATCTGAGAGGGTAGAATGGGGGTATGGACTAAATGTTTGTATCCTCAAATGTATATGTTGAAGCCCTAACCCCCAGCATGACTGTATTTGGAGTTGGGGGTCTACCAGGAAGTACAGATGGTCCCTGACACAACAATTATTCGACTTAAGAGTCTTCAACTTTTCAATGGTGTTAAAACAGTAAGCATTCAGTAGAAACTGTACTTTGAATTTTCATCTTTTATTTTATGATAAAATGTTGATTATTATTAAAAAGTAGACTTTGCTTTAGGTGATTTTGCCCAACTGTAGACTAATATAAATGTTCTGAGCACGTTTAAGGTAGGCTAGGCTAAGTCATGATGTTTAGTTTACGTGTATTGAATGCATTTTCTTTTTTTTTTTTTTTTTTGAGTTGGAGTCTCACTCTGTCGCCCAGACTGAAGTGCAGTGGCCGCTCCCGGCCACCGCAGCCTCGACCTGCTGGGCTCCGGTGATCCTTCCGCCTCAGCCTTCCAGGTAGCTGGAACTACAGGTGCGCACTACCATGCCCGGCTTGTTTTTTGGTCTCGCCAAGTTGCCCAGGCGGGTCTCGAACTCGTGGGCTCAGACAATCCACTCGCCTCGGCCTCCCAAAGTGCTGGGATTACAGGCTGAGCCACCGAGCCTGGCCTGAATGCATTTTTGACTCACGATAACATCTGTAATTAAGGTTAAAGGAGGTCATAAGGGTGAGGCCTTGATTTGATAAGATTAGCATTTTTATAAGAAGAAATGCCAGAGAGTGCTCACGCACACCAAGGAGAAGCCATATGAGGTCTTAGTGAGAAGATGGTTGTATACAAGCCAGGAAGAGAGCCCTTATCAGAAACAGAATCAGCCAGAACCTTGATCTCATACCTCTAGCCTCTAGTCTGTGAGAAAATACATTTCTGTTGTTTAAGCCACCTAGTCTGCTGTTATTTTGTATTAGCCCAAGCAGGGTAATACAAATGGATGGAATCAAGAG